TATTCATAATTATGAATTGTTATCAAAATCGGCAGAGGCATTAACTTTTGACAAGGAATAATATTTTATGTATTATTTCACATTTTGTTACAGGGGGCGCCACGTGAATGATTCCTGATGAGGAAATTAAGTGGTAGTTTTATTTTGACGAAACTTTTTAGTGTTTTTGATTAGAAAATATGACGTAAATATCATTTCTACGTAGTGTAGGTACTTTTGTTTAAAATTTCACCCGAGAAAAACGCAATTGAACAGTTCAGCGTCTCAGAAAGGGATTTTAAAAAAATATTATTTTATTTATAAAAAGTGTGGTTTGGACTGTCAGATAATTGTATCTGGTAAATGTCATTTCTGGTCAGTGGATTATTTTTGCTGTGAGATTATAGTCCATTGTTCAACTTTAACGCCCTGTATCTTATTCCACAGCAATATTTTATTAGGGTATATTTGGTTCTATTGCCATTTTTGGTCAAAATAACCTGCCCTTAGCCTATATCCAATAGTTATGAATCGCCCTGTATATTATACTCTTCACAGTTTAACTTCCCATTTTAAATCAAATTCTATAGACTTCATCCCCTTATCAAGCTTGATTTTTCCTAAAGATTTTTTTTCCGAGTTTGGATTTTTTAATATTTCATTCATCAGTAAGCTTACAGAGTTTGATATTTTTATTAAAAATTTCGTGTTGATATCGCTTTTCGTTTTTTGATTTATGATTTTTTTTAATTTGAACTCCCCTTAACGCTCCACTTTTATTTAATTTTTATTTCAATAGGCTTCGTTCCCTTATAAAGCTCGATTTTTACTAAAAATTTCAAGTTAATATTGTTTTTCTTTTTTGATTTATGATTTTTTTTTTACTTTTAACAATCTTAATTCCCCCATTTTTATTCAGATTTTTTTCAGAATCAATAGACTTCGTTCTTTTATAGTACTTGATTATTCCTGAAAATTTAAAGTTGATATCATTTTTCGTTTTTGACTAATCGTGCGGACGGAAACCGTGACATCGGACGGACGGACATTTTTAAAATTTGATGAGTGGATTTTGGTAGAAAAATTTTTAAATTTGGGACAATATTAAAAATGTTGGTTTCTTGAAAGTAAATCTATAATACTCTTCACTGTGTGAAGAGTATAATAAGGATTTAGAGATATAATTATGTATATTTATAAACGGAGTTTTGGTTGTGAAATGTTTATACAATATGGTGTGCGTTCTGTCAGAAAATTCTTTTTATTCGTGACGTTATCTGAATATGCGCCTTCGATAAAAAAAAATTAATATAAATGTAGATCTTGGGATAAATAATTTAAAAGATCTTTTAATTATATATCCAACTCTTTCAATAATTTTAAGTAATTGAATTTTGTAAACTGTAAACAAATATCATTTCAATTATTAATTTTAGACTACCTGTAAATTCCCAAAAGTAAATTTGGAAAAAAATGTTAGTTTATTGCTTGACTTTTTTTTAAATGTAGTTCAAATTAAACTTATTTGACTGGTCAAATATAAAAGGTAATAATAATAGTCTAATACATTGTAATAGTGATTGGTTGTTTAGACAAAACCAAGACATAAGTATTTATCAATAAATATTCTTCTTTAAAACCAATTTCGCAATCCAATTACTTATGTCGAAAAAATAATAAAGATCCAATGTTTAAAAAAATAGTTATAAATATATTTGTGCCTGTAGGACCGGCGCACTGGGGAATCTTCCTATTTCCCGATGGGCCCATCCGCTCCTGTTCATTTCAAGCGCTTAGCTAGGTTGTTTTCTTGGAGAGGGGTGAATGCGCAGCGTGTTATCTTAAAATATGGCAACAATGCAAAATGAAACGTCTAGAGTTCATGTGTGTATTTCCAGTAAAAAGACTAGAGTATTATAATGAAATTGTTTTTAATTTATATATTTATTTCATAATGAAGTACCGTAATTTTGGGGATTTGTAGATCTTAACTAAGATTTCCACCTGACCTTTTTTTGAAAAGGACAGTCCTTTTTCAAATTGTCCTTGAGATTTTTTAAAGCTTAAAATGTAATTTTTTACGCTACATGTCCTTTTTTACAGCACATGTCCTTTAAGGTCCTGGATTATAAAAATATAACTTGAGGCCTTTTTTATAGACCAGGGTTTTTTAAAATTTAAGTTTTTTTTAAAAAACTCGCCAGAAATAATACTTCGTTTTTGTGAAATCCCCTGTCGTCACCATTGTCCCGTTTCCTTTCTGGCAACTCTTCCTTTTTTCACTTTTCAAAAAGGTGGCAATCCTAATCTTGACTAATTATAAACAAAAGCTAAATATAATTTTCCTATATACGTCCCAGTTTTCATTCTACAGGGTGATAAAATGAATTTCATAAATACATAATTTTCTAAATAATATCTTTTCTTGCCAAGAGCGGCTCCACGAGAGGGGCCATAGGGTCATATTCGAATACTTAGAAATATTCGAATAGTCAATAATTTGGGTATTCGAATAAAGTTTCAAACAAATAATCGAATACAAAAATCTGAAAAATTCCGAGCCCTAGTTAACACACTCTATTTTGATAAATTACGATAACCCATTGGCGTAGAATCAAGGGCTAAGAAAACAATTTTAATCAAAACTTTTTGAACACCCTATATTTTATAAAACTTAAGATTAATAATTATTTCTCACGTAATTTGTCACAAAAAAGAGACTTCTGATTGATATCTGTAGAACATTCCATTTCCGAGATTTGACAATTCTTGTCCAACTCAAACATATCTATATACATTATGAAATTTCAAAAATGCAAATTTTTATTAAAGGTCGTCTTTATAATCAATATTAAAAGGTACATTAACTAATGGAACAATTAGGTCCATAAAATCTTAGTTATTGGACCTTTTAATATCGGCTCGTGATAAAATTGTACATAGATTTAATGTTTTTATAGAACTACAGAGGGATCAACCAAGAGTCCAAAGACAAAAGAAAAAAAAGAAAAAAAAATAAAAAAAAACAAAAATAAACAAAACACTTAAACCATATTTAAGTTCAGGTTATTTTAGTTATTAAGGTAAAGCAACTTTAAAGTAATTTGTAAAATAATAAAGTTTGTTATATATTTTTATCTGTTCACCTGACAATTGACTGGCCTGTTGGTTTATAACCAGTGCCACTAACTTAGTTAAAAAAAAAACCAAGAGTCCCTTTTTGCTTGAGGAATAATTATTTATTTAAACTTTTGTGAAATACAGGATGTTCAAAAAGTTTGTATTAAAATTGTTTTCTACGCCAATGGGTTATCGTAATTTATATAAATAGAGTTTGTTAACTAATTATGACGATTAACTAACATATACATATTTTTAAGTTAAAGTCTTTAACGCAAGGGAAAATATTTAGAAAATTATATAACTATGAAATTCAGTTTATCACCCTGTAAAATGAAAACTGGAGCGCTTATAGGAAAATGATATTTAGCTTTTCTTTATAATTAGTTCTACAAGATCTACAAACAAGTCCCCTAATGTACGGTACTTTATTCTGAATTCTGAATATTTTTATTTTAGATGACAATGTTTGAGAAACTCTTTGTTTTATTGTATTTATTTTATTTTTGTTTAATATAACGTTTAAAAAAGTAATGATGTTTCCGATGGCTTAGGGGTAATTACCCCCATCCCCCCCCTTATCTACGCCCTTGGTTCATTTCAGTTTTATAAAAACTAAACTAACTAAAATAAATAGTGAAGTTTACCAAATTTTGTGTTTCAAAAATAAAGGTTTACATGAATCATATCATGTTTAATACCGCACATACTTCGTAGACCTCACTTTTGTATAATGAAAATTTTATTTAATAACTGCCGAAGGGGGTGGGTTGGCTCAGTGGTTAGAGTCATGACTTTGAGATCGGAAGGTCTCAGGATCGAATCCCACTGTTGGCCGGGATTTTTTCATTTAATTTAATTATTTAAAATTAATTCTGATGCTTTGGTAGGATTCCCCACTCGGCCATTCACTGTTGGGTTCTAATTAACAGTGCTGTTCCTAAAGTGGCACTGGGAAATAGTAACAAAGTCTACACAGAATACGAGGCTAATGGCCGTAGTAGTCGACGCCGATGACACCAAATTAAAAAAAAAATAACTGCCGAACATGCTTCCTAGAAACAAATCCCATATCGTAATCTTAAATGAGATTCTATTAAAGCAAAATAAATATGCATCTAAGGATTTAGGATGTGCGCTACTGACGGCAAAGCATACCGAAGCTAACTTTTTACACAAAGTGTTATTTTCAAATTTTAATTTAGAATCAGTACAAATACCTAATAATTTTTTTTACAATCTTAAAGACTTGATTTTCCAATGTAATAAAATCACATTTAAAACAAATCGCGTTAATTTTCGCTATATTAAATTGTTTGGCCTTTAACATATCTGCATTTATCGTATTCTCCAAAATTGTACTATTCTTATGATGCCAAATTAAAATGATATTGTTAGCAAAAATGATAAAATATACATGAATTCATATATTAATTACATCATTGAAATAAATGAGAAACAAAATTGGTCCCAGTACTGATCCTTGTGGAACCCCTCAGAATTAATAGGCGACACCTTCTTATTAACACATTATTATTGAAGGAATTAATTTTACGCATTTTTTATTAAAATTCGTAAAATTTATTCAACAATAAAACAGTTCTCACCATTTTCTTTCCCGGGTCGCAAGAGCAATTCCTTTTAATCACACATCCTAATAAGAACTTTACGTACGGTTTTTAACGTTTTTATATTGTTCAGACCTAGATTTTTACATTTAGACTATTGTTAAAGTATGAAGAACAATCATTCACTTAATGCACGAACTTAACAACCTACGATTTACCACTGGACACAGAAACTATATTTAACGTAACGCGAAAGAAATACACTTTTATTAAAAAAAATGCAGTAAGACGATAATTTTTTAAATGTACAAATATGAGGGGATAAATATTTACCTGCTGCCAATGTTTCGAAATCCATGATGAGTGCGTAAATCTTCTTTTCTCACTGAGATGACCCCCGCCCCGTCACTAATGCTACCTCTGACAATCATGGGCTTCACTGGACGTTTCTCTAAATTGCCCGCTATACTGTGCTTGTATTGTGCCACTGTAACAACCTTATTGTTTGGTCTCCGTAAACATCCGAATGCTTTATTTGTTTGATTTAAATTAACCATTCAATAATTTTTGACATTTTTACGTCGGCTATCAGGAAAAGCCATTTTTAATCTGAAGAGAGTCGAGTAAAGATGATGGCAGTTTTACAATTGAATAGTAATTACGCTTTAATTTAATTATTTGTTTAAATGTTCTACTGCTGTTTTTGAATAGCAGTGATGACACTGATGACTCTTAATATTATTATCAGCGAGATTTATGTTTAAAAGGCTTCTTCTTCCAATAAATCTTAAATTCTACTTTATCTTCTTTGTGTTTCCAATTTTACAATATTAATTATATCTTATTGATTCTATACCATGGATAAATATATGTTTTTGCTGTTTTTGAGTTTCTGACAATAATTTTAATAGAATATTATCAATAGCACGCCTAATCGATTGAAAATCAATTTAACTTTTCAAAGTGACATCAACATTTTGATGACACGTGACTTTTAAAGAATTATAATAAAGCTCTCTCTAAATATCTTAACTCAAGTTTGATTCAAATCAAAATCCATTCGCTAAACAGGAACTAATTTTCGAGCGTCCTACCAGGAACGCGCCGTACATATGGACGCCAGTTTAATGCATAAAGGCGGCGTCATGCGCCTGTAGATTAAGATTAAAAAACGTTATTTGAAAACTACATCACGTATATAAAAAGAAAACATACATCAACAAGTTATAAAAGTAATTTTAAGAAACCAACTTCAAAATCGTGAAGATGCCCTTAAAAATTGAAACCCTTGACGTATGCCCTTTCTAACAAGAATTGAAAAATCAGACAACGTGCTAAATAATTATCGCTGAACATACATAAAAAATTAAGAGTTCAATGATTTTCTTATGGACGCCATTATTAGATCTTGATCAAATTTATATGGGACCACGAATATATTTCATATCCATCTCATCCTTCCTAGTAAAAACACTACAGAAAAAATGAAATCCACCAATCACAGTTAATATTTTGTCTACCATTATTTTTTAAATTTTATATTCGCTCCGTGCTTGACAGCAACGCCAATTCATTTATGTACTAATGGACTATTTTTGCGTATACTGACAATACAATTTTTAATAGAATTCTTAATTAAAAAGTATATATAATATGTTAATTTTAATAAAAGTATATGGATTTGTAAAACATTAATTTATTATTATTATTATTATATATTTTTATCGCTTAAACTAAAAAAAAATAAGTATAATCAATAATAAAATATAGGAAGGCAACAGTATTTACAGAAAAATGTATGAGAAGTTGCCTAAGTCTAATAAGTTGTCTTTGAAGAATTAACCTATTCTATCAAAATACAAAAAAAAATACTATAAATAATAGCGTGAAGTTAATATGTATAAACAGAAGGATTGTTGTTTATATTTTCATTTTTGTTCGAAAGAAAACATAGAATGAATGATTAAAACTGGTTTCCTATCAGTAAGTCACAAAATTGCATTCTAGCCACATACAATAATCAAAGGCAGAAATCTAGTTCTTGCTGAATAAGATTAAAGGGATGTTGAAGAACATCGTAAAATAATAATTTATTGTTTATTTAAAACCTTTCAAGTTTCTGATGTCTACTATTTCCAGCTGGCGCTAGTATCGCTTTTGTTTCCCCTACACTGACTTATCACTGAGCGAATAAGTGGCAATTCCGTCAAACTAATTTCAAGTATATTGTTTAGTTATTGAGATTAATTATACGTAAAAATGAGTTATTCTTGTGTAGAATCGATAAATAAGAGCATTTCTATTTTTACCACATTTAAAAATAATTATTAAATTTAAATCAAACTATATGAAACTAATTTAATTACGAGTATTAAAACTAAACTAAAACTAAAATCGTGTGGAGGTGAGGCAATGGCGTTTGTCTTCCACGCGAGAGGCCCGTGTTCAAATCTGGGCTGAGGATTAATTAGATTAATTTTTTTTATTTTATAAATTAGTAAAAGTCATAAATTATCTTAAAATTCGTAAAAGTCATAAATTATCTGAAAATTAGTTATTTTGTCTTTATAACCTAAAATATTTTTTAAATTTGTAGATTTTCGTAAATATACTTTTTAGATTACCTAATATTTTAAAGATCTAGTTGGTATAAAAATTTGAAAAAATGCTCGTGAAATAAGGTATTCATGGAATCAACCCATTGATGGCATCTATCGACACTTATTTTGGGAATAGTTTTGGTTACTCACCGTAAAATTCTTACGTTTTTTGAAGCTTATGTAGAATTACCACAATGAAAGTTACTTAATTTTTCTAAATCAAATGGAAATTGACTTTTTCTTTAATTTGTTCGCAACAGTTTCTGAGATAAAAAGTTTTCCTAGCTATTAGCGAATGTAGCCAAGGATATAGGACCGCTCCAATGCTCGGACATCTCTATTAGAGAATACAGCCTTTCTATAGAACCTTGAGTGGCTAAACAAGTTTTGTATTGATAATTCAGTAATATATATCTATCTAATTACAGAAATGTTCGTTCATAAGAAACATTGTTCGTTATTAGCGATTCAAATTTATATTCCCGCAATTTTCTAATAGCTGATAAATCTAAATATTCCATCCAGACAAAACAGTAGACAGCACTTTTCAAAGTGCATGAATATTCAAATCACAGAATATGAAGTTAGCTCCGATTTTGTTAGTTTGTTTACATTCACCATTTATTGAAATCCTGGACATTAATGTGTACGAGTCGTAGAAAAAATATACTGTATAACTCGATTGGACTGTCCGTATCGCACTCAGACGATTGAGTACTCCGCCTACGGCGTCGGGCTCAAACTTCGTCTTCGTGCAATATATGGCCATCATATCCACTCTTGTTGCACAAACTACTATGAAAGGATAAAAAATTCGACTTTATATCTATAGTAATCTTATGTTATAATAATACTATTAAGTAATGTCAATGCTGTAGGTTATAGAATCTTCAACAATACCTATATCCCAGTGACGGTTCGTGGCCTAGTTTACGGGGGGCTACTTTTGAAAAGCGCCTAAAAGAAATATATAAAATTTATCAAAACTTTACAAAAACACTTTGGTGATCAGATGGGTAGTATTCCTCTAATTTAGCACCTAAGTAGTTGTGTCCTACCACTTTTTCGTCAAAGTAGGTAATAGTTTTGTTACATTTATGTTCTGATTCATTAAAACACTTGTCTAATTCGTTAAAACACATGTTCACTTTTTTTATTATACACTTTTACCTTGAAAATAGTCCTGTATTATGAACCTTTTGAGCTTTTGTTTACCTAAGTAAGTTTTAAATCGGGAGTAGGCCGTCTCAAAGATTTAATATGGCATTTTTCACCCAGCGAAAGTCTCTAAAAATTGTTTTTTTAAATATTTTGTACACTATTCGCCACGTTATAAAAATGTCCTAACCTAACCACTAAGCACCTGTTGGTATATAAGATATTTTCAATCCAACAATAGTAGTTTGTGCAACAAAAGTGGATATGATGACCATGATGGCGATGATGGTGGGTGAGGTTTTCCGGGTTTTCCTCACCTGTAAATCAAATGGCACCATCAATCATCTTTAAGTCGCCCCGGAGCGCCACGGCAAATAATAATAATAGCCGTCCCTTCCCCTACACAAGTCGTTCAGTCGACTTCAGGGGTTGAAATTCACTCGTAAGGGGGTGAATTAGGGAGAGTATTATTATTATTATATCGCACGAAGACGAAATTTGAGCACGATGCCGTAGGCGTAACAAATGAAAGATTACAACATTTTTAACATAATGGTTACTTTATCAAGTGTTCAAATGTGCTCCATTTGTGAGTTGACAGTACCCTAATCGATGGTAGAATGCGTCTACCACATTTCTCCATGATTGTCTAGAAATTAATCGAGATTAATCGATAATTCGTTGCCCAGCAAGACTTGCTGGTTTAGTTTTGTAAACTGAATTGTTCAAGTAAAAATAATCTTTAGGATTTAAATCAGGTGAACGTGGAAGCCATTCAATATTACCTCGTCTACCAATCGATCGTCCGGTAAATATCTCATCTAAATAACCATATCTGATTAAAATTGGCTCCAATCAAGTTTCTCAGTGTAGGTACAATTTAATTTCTAAGTAGCATTTCGCAAATATCTGACGTTAAATTTCCTTCAATAAAGAATGGCCCAATTAACTGAGTACCTACTATACCTGACCAAACATTTAATTTTTGTAGTCTTTGAGTATGGTTTTCTCGCATCCAGTGTGGATTGACGTCACTCCAGTACCTTAAATTATGTCGATTTACATTCCCACACAGTGTAAAGATTGCTTCATCGGAAAAACATATTCTGTTAACGAAATTTTCATCATTTTCAATTTTATCCATTATTCCCTCAGTAAACTCTAATCTACGATCGAAGTCATCTTCACTTAATTCTTGCAATAAGTGAATTTTGTATGATTTAAATTTATTTTTATGTAATACACGTAAGACTGAAGAACGACCTACATCATGTACTTGTGCAACCCTGCGTAAGGATGTATGTGGATCTTCAACAAAACTCTGCATTATTCGGGCTGCGCACTCCAGAGTGGAGTGGAGTAGGTAGGCGTAAATGGAGTGCGCATATGGTTTTACTTCTTTTACTCTCAGAGTTAGTTCAATGTCAGTTGTCAATGTGACATACTAGTACTTAAAACCTAATCATACTTATCAGTAACAACCGAATAAGTTTCTTCCATATTAATGGTATGCACGGGAACTAAATGAAAAGCATTTTTACTTAAGAATTAGTCACAATTATCTTATTATCGATTTAAATCACCTTATGCGCATGTCCGATCCACACTCCACTCCACGATCTCCGAACGATCAAAAAGGAACTTTAATTTTAACTCATTCCGTTCCCGAACGCCTTAGGTACTTTAGGAGTGAATATAGTGAAAAGAGTGCATAGCCCGAACTCACCTCTAATCGGTATTTATCTTTTACTCCTCCAGATTCTTCAAAGCGCTTTACAGTTTTTTGTACCGTCGCCTTATGAATAGGAGAACGATTTGGGAAAGTATCGTTGAACAAGTTGGCTACTTCTCAATAAGATCTTTTTCTGTCGCCGTACCTCTCATCATTAGAATAGTAATTCGTTCTTTTTCGTTAAGAACTATTTTAGAGAAGCAATTTACCTTGCAGAACTTTTCAAAACACATTAAACTACTGTCAGTTTTAGTTAATAATGTAAATGGTAAACAAATGTCAAAATCACAGCATTCTAGATTTAAATTTCTTCAAATCTACATATTTTGCAGTTTTATTTATTTAAGACCATCTAGACTAAATAAATTCATAAGTGTTACATATGGTTGAACTCGTATTGAATAGGAGATTCCAATAATGACTGAATATACAGGGTGATAAATTTGAAAAACCAAAGTTACTATAAGAGAAACGGCAAATCTGGCAACATTGCAAATATCAAATCTGGAATCTCCGTATCTCAAAATAGATGTACCCCAAATTTTGTACAATTAGGACTAGTAATGTACGACATAATTGATCGTTTCCAGACTTTTGGGCCACTCCGTATATAAAAAAAAACTACAGCTAATGATTATAGAAATGTCTAGTTATGACACGGCACTGAGACTTGAGTAGTTAGATTTTATTTTAATAAATTTGACAAACTAGATTCAACAGATTGTTCATCACTGGATTAGGGTGAAACTGGACAGGCTTGTTTGCAGTAGTACTAAGTCGATAATTTAAACCTATTAGACTAAAATTATTAAGTCCAGAGGCGTTCCAGATGGAAACCTACAAAAAATAAATAACACGCCACTGATTTTTAATTCTTTTTTTAAGGGCTACATCCCTAAAACTCATATATATGGCTAACTCACCTTCAATTTTTTATCCTCATATCACGTTGCCTCTATCCCCCTCGGTCCACTATATTTTTTTTTCTCTAAACGATTGTTCTTGAACTAACAAATATTTTTTTAACGGTTCAAAAAGATAGATAAGATACATTTTATTAAAGGTTAAGAAAGAAAACAAAATACATATAGAACAACCATTTATTTTTTACTTGTGTATTACAATTTCACGTGTATTGTCTTCCTTATTGAAATTTAAAAAAAAATTGAACAAACTAACACATTATGGCTAAGTACTAATTTTCAGCAGTCCGCTGTATCTTATCATCCAATCTAAAAATCGAAAAAAATATCAATTTATCTGAATTTAATCATTAAATAGGCCCGTTCTCGATGTACTAATTAGCATAGATGGTAAAAGTAATGCAGTCAAAATATTTGTTTGGATTATCTACAAGGTATTTGAATCTAAATTCTCCATTAACAATATTCTGTAATAATCCATACACAATACGGACATTCATCACAAAAATCGTTAATCATCTTTCAACCAACATTTCATTTGAATCAGTATAATTTAATATATACGAGGTTAATTTGAAAAGTTATCAGAATGAACTGTGGTTGGCGGTAGCAGCTCCAATTTAGTATAGTAACAATCTGTCATCTGTTATCCTACAAAAGTAATTCCGAAACATTTTAAATCCTCCTTATTCATTAAAAATTATGAACATTTACGAAAGGGGGGTCCAAAAAACGGACTACAAGCACGCGACCATTACTAGGCGTAGTAACGAATTATCCGGCTAGTAGAGACCTTCCAATATCAGTTGCTTAAGAGGCAGTGTTGTCATAACACGAGATTTATCACCAGATGTAGTGATTTTGCCAAAAGTAACTTGTCTGATTATTTTTGTCATCAGAGATATCGATATCAAAGCTGAAGAGTTCCAGTGTTGAAAGATGATTTGACACGAACATTGATTCTAATGGAGAGGTCCTTTGAAGGAGACTAAAAGTTATGTAAAAAAAAACGTTTTTTGAGTTCCCCCTCGATGCTTTACTAAGGAGTTCAATTTCAAATACCCTGTATCTGAATCTACTACAATACTAATAAATATACATTGTTCTAATTGTCAATAATAAATTGTTTTCTACGGTAACTCATTTGCTTAAATTATTTAAAAGTAATCATCATAAACAATGAAAAATATAGATCATATTTAAGAAATTCTTAAATAATTAACTGTATTTACAAAAAAAAGGAAATGCGCCGTAGAATTTTAGGATGTAAAGTCGTTTGTTTAGGAATCAAAACAAAAATATATAAGATTCTTTACACTTTAGTATATTTTACTTTTTTCGATGAAACGTACAGTGAAATTTGGCGATTAAAAAATGTTAATATTTACAATACAATGTTTATTAAAATAAAGATTAAAATGGGAGTACACAATTAAAAACATTTCCTAAAATGTAAAAAACCAAACGAGTGCAAAAAATAGCCTTGTTTCAAATGAATAGCAAATAGACAACAGGTAAAGAAAGATAATAAATAATTTCATGAATAAAATGTACATCTTTGAATTTTGTACAATTAAAAATAAATAAAAAATACTAAAACTGTTCAACAAATAATAAATTGTAAACGGCTACTTAAGAGCTTCTAAAAAGTTAATTGTGAAAGAAATAAATATAATTTAAGCACAAAAGAAGTAATTTTAATCAAATGGTTTTTTCAAATATAGAAAAAAAATGAATCTAATTAGTATTTCGTTATGTTCAAACTTTGGTCTACTGGAAAATAAATAAAAATGTACCTACAATAATTGATTGTATTATTTTTAACCATTAGAATTGAACTTACATTTACCAAACTTTGAACATAATTATATTTTTGTAGCAAAATTTACATGTAGAATAGACTTAAAAAAAAGTCTTATTCGACTGAGGTAGGTAGAATGGCTCCTAAGTAACTGTTTCACTACCTACTCAGCTACAAGTACTTATTGACAAAAATAATTCGTCAAATTGTCTTACTTAGCTTTGAGAGCCTTCATTAAACCATCCGTAGACATAGATTTCGGTCTTTCGATTGGAAGACCCAATGCACGGTCCCACACAAGGGACGCCATCACACCAAGTGCTCTTGATACTCCAAACAGAACGGTGTAGTAGTTCATTTCTTTAAGTCCATAATACTGAAAAAACGTTATACTTGTTATTACGGGATGATAATGCAAATTACATGTGTATGTGATTCAAAGTTTAAAAAAAAAAACTAATCATTTTCAGTAATAAACTATTTTATTTCTAAAAAATAGGAGCAGATATTAAGTATTTTGCTTCTAGTATTAGAAATAGTACAATGGCTTAGTGATCTTTCAATATAAGCTCTAAAAGTGAAGGAACTTTTTTTATTGTTAGTTTTATGGAAAAAAGTGATTTCTTATAAACATTTCTGCATGGCCTAAAACCTAAAATACAACCATTAAATTTTATGAGCCGTGTACAAGATGCGTCAAAAAATATAAATTTTGCTCAAGAGTAAAGTACCTTTATTTTTGACAAACCTCGTATACGACTGATAAAATTTGGTATCAGATGAATAAATTTTAGGTTTTAAGTCACGAGGAACTTATTATGAAGAATAAGCTTTTTTTTCCAACAAAAAATAATAATAAAAAAGTTGCCCAATAACGATTTTTTAGTATTATTTCAAGATTAATTTTTTTATAATGCCTTTTAATTAGAATTGCATTTTTAATATTATTAGAGCGTAAAGTTTTAGGACATATTCAAATTCGTAAAGGTCCTAATAAAGTTGGCTATTTGGGTTTAATTCAGCCTTTTAGGAATGTTATATTACATTATAATAAAAATTTAACCCAATATTTCATTATTCAAAATTAATTGAAATCCCCCAATATCAAATAATTTGTATAACAAACACACAGCAAATGATTAATAAATAAAAAATTTAAACTAAATCTTTCATTATTCAAAATTAATTTAATTAATTTAACATAATATACAAAAAAATATATATATGAACATAATAAATAGAAAATTACGTAAGGGGTCGCACCTGGATCTTTAAGCTTACACCTCAAAGTCTTTACTAATTAGGCCATTGCAGTAAATAGCTACGTCAGTCGAAATGGCAAATTTTAAGATATTAGCTTCCAACCTTAATCGGTACACATATTCTCTCCTATCCTAACTATCTCAATTCTCCTTAAAATACCAATGCAGCATCGATGTGAAAAACGCCGATAGAAGAATAATTTAAAGACATGTTTATTAATTTAAATGATAATCACAAATGTGAAATAAATATTTTTCATGTCGTTTTTTTAAAATTCAAATTAAAAAAAATCTATATTCAGTAAGATAAAAAAACTTACCTGCAAGAGAACACCAGAATGAGCATCTACATTAGGCCATGGGTTCTTAACTTTTCCAAGTTCAAGAAGAATTGGGGGTACAACTTTGTATACATTGGACACCAACTGTAAAATAAAAATAGTTTGAATAATTTTTCGCTAAATTCGCTTTAAAATGTATACGAATTAATAAAAACAACAAGTTCTACTTTTGAAAATTAATTATATATTTTATGAACATAATAAATCTTCTAAAAATCCATTTACTAGTAATATGTATTTACTACTGTTGTATTTATTACTAATGTATAGCATTTATTACTAATGTAATGCATTTATTACTAATGTATTTACTCTTACAAATCAAAAAAAATGCATTGAACTTACCTGGAACATAGGGTCATCAGGTAAATGTTTGAGGGCGAATTCTCTTTGGCATGTGTAACGGGGATCTGTTTTTCTTAAAACAGCATGTCCGTATCCAGGTACGACTTGACCAGATTTCAAAGTTTTCCAGATGAAATCTTTCAACTGTTCTTCGGTTGCTTTATCACCAACTTGTTGACGAAGTTTTTGGATCCAGACAAGTACCTGAAATAAAATTATTTTATTTGTTAAATACGTTGAGCTATCTAATATTAATAAAACGTAAAAAATAAAAATAATTACAATAGTCGTATAATAGATATCCAAATATAAAATTTCATAAAGATAACAGTAAAATTAGCTAGTTAAACTAGTCAGTTATTATATTGTAAAAACACTTTTGATGAACATAACAAATAATTCAGTTTGAATTAGTGCTGTTTATAACTGTTTTAATTCTATAGGATTATAGAAGGGTTTCGCACCCCTTTGACCCCCTTCTTTTTTAAATGAAATTCAGTTAAAAACAGTAGCTTAAAAAAACTGAAATCCTACATCTGTTTTAAAATGGGTTAGTCTCTTGGTATTTGTGAAAACAACAATATCTGAATACATGTTCTTGTTAACGACGTGCTCGAAGAGCACGTCGCAATCTATTACACAGTGTGTTCTAAAAAGTTTTATACACATGAAAAACATTTTTGTATAAAAGAATTATTCTTGATAAAAAGTTCTGCATCATTTGAGAATCCATAATCGAGTATTATTACTTTCGTTTTGATTTTAAGTATTCAATAAATAAACAATTCGAGGTATGGTATTCGAGGTATTGCTTCAGACCTAATGGAAAACTATCTAACATAAAGAATGCAACGAGTCAAAATTGGCCAAGAAATGAGCTCAGATTTAGTAGTACAAACCGGGATACCCCAAGGTACTGTTTTAGGACCAATATTGTTTCTCATATATATAAACAGTATAAATAAAATAAACAATTTTAAAGGTCATATTATATGATGATACTGCACTTATTTTTACTGGTTTCACATGAGAGGGTGTCGCAAGGACCACCGAGTCGGATCTGAAAAAAAAATGCATACTTGGCTAAATAATATGTTGTCGTTGAATATTAGTAAAACTAGGTATATGACCTTCTCTCCCACTACTCGAGATCAACCTCTTAATATAAATATTAAATTACACACATCCCATTGTATCAATAAAGATAACTGCAATTGTCAATACATAGAGCAAACAAACTCTATAAAATATCTTGGTGTACTACTTGACCAACATTTAAAGTGGAAGGATCATATTGGTTCTGTTAATAGACGATTACGACTTTTAATGCATAAATTCTATGAATTGCGCGACATTTTGTCTCAAAAAAATTTAATAATGTTATACACCTCACTAGTGGAATATATTATAAGATACTGTATCCCAGCATGGGGCACAGCTTACAAAACATCATTAAATAATTTACAAATTGCACAAAATTTAATCCTAAAAATAATATTTAGGAAAAATAGATTATTCTCCACACAAAATCTATACCAAGAAACCAGTATGCTAAATATCCGATTAATATATATTTATCAATGTTTAATAAGAATATTTCTTGAACAAAAATCTTACACACAAATATAACAAATTAGAGATACTCGGTCAAAATTAAATTTGATTATTATTGTTGAATTTTTAAGTAAAACAGTGACCCAAAACTCATTTCTATTCTTCGGCCCAAAAATCTTTAATGTTCTTCCAAAAAAAAAAAAGAAATAATCAATTTTAAAAGCTTTAAAAAAGAAGTAATTAATTATATCAAAAATTACCCAGATAAATTTCCTTCCAACTGATTTTACATTGTTTTATGTTTTTAATAGTAATTACCTGTACAATTACCAGGACTTTACATAATGGTCATCTGATTAATCACTCTTGAATCTTGAAATAGTAAAATTAAAACTATTTAATTGAAAATTTATTCCATTGCCTTAAATACCAATTACATTATTCAAAACTCGTTAAAATGCTTCACAGGTCTAAAAGCAATGTGTATTCAGACATTGTTATTAACGATATTGTATAGTACCTATCTCCTAAAAAGTTTTATACATACAAGGAATAATATTTTGTTTTTCAAAAAAACAAGTCCATCAATTTTATAAATTGCGAAACCCTTGTAAAAACCAATAGAATTAAAACAATTTTAAACGCAACTACCTCCAGTTTATTTGTCATTGTATACATTCCATGTACATTTTCATAATAATATGTTAAGCCATATTAGAGTAACAGCAAAAAAATATTTTCTAAAATTTCTTCTTTAACACCCTGTAACTTTTTTGTACATAAATAGTTACAGTTAGTTACAAGTTAGCTTAAATCGAAACTGGTTAAATTTATTGTACCTACGTTTTTTAAAACGAAAAAATTGATTGAATTTAGACCGTTTTATACATAATAAAAAACCCTGTATGTAGTGAGAACGTAATTAATAACGACTAAATGGTCTGTATTTCTGATTCTTTTAAATTAGATTATATAATTCCCGCAATGGTTTGAATTAAATAATTTACGTGTGACCTTTAAAATGAACTTTATTATCTTTTATATTTCCATAATATGCAGATTTGTTTTTGGCTGGGAACATTATTTGTTAAATACCCAATCATTAATATAAGTTTAACAAAATTTTTATAAAATCAATTATTGGTAAAAAGTTAATAATTACTATTGGCAACTATAAAATATGGGTGGGTTTACATTATTTTTTAAAGCTATGAGACACCTAGTATCAAAAAGTATTGCTTAAATAAATTAGATTGGAATTTCTTAATTTCAAAACAATATATTTTCAAATTAATAAATCTCATAATAATTTGCAACTCACTCTCTTTTATGTTTCTAATTCATTGAAATAGTGAAGTAAAATTAATCATCGTTTGATATAAAAATATTAAAAATAAATCGATTCTTCCAGGAATAGAAAAACTGTTTACAATAAGAAATAACAAAAAATTGATAAACATTATTTTAGACTCATTGTTTAATTAGACAAACAATATTATTTGAATGAGTAAAATGTGATTGTTTTATATAGATATGACAAAAAATTCTACAAAATTATATAATTGAAAAAAAAGAACTTTTATATATTTATTTTCTTTATCTGAGGATACCAATCATTCGTTGTTCGCACTATGTAAAAAAATTATATATTTAAGAAACTTACCTCTTGGTTTGCAAGACCGTGCAGTGGACCAGCCAATCCATTCATACCGGCTGAAAATGACAGGTAGGGATCACTGAGGGCCGAGCCAACCAAATGTACAGTGTGAGCCGATACGTTTCCACCTTCATGGTCACTGTGGATGGTAAGGTACAATCTCATCAATTCAATGAATTGAGGATCATCGAAGCCCAACATGGTAGTGAAGTTGTAACTCCAATCTTTGGATGTGTCAATAGCTCCGATTCCGGAACCGTCTTTGAATGAATTACGGTAGATGGTCGCTGCTACTACAGGAAGTTTGGCTATTAGGTCCATCGCGTCTTCATAAACATACTGAAAAAGGAAAATCATTTTTAGAAAAATATTTTAGTTCAAACCAATAGCAATTTTTTCAAATCTATTGAAATGACAGCAAAATTTGACCTCGTTATATACCATCATAAAGAATCCAAAAGATAAATGATTCACAATTTGGGAATTTATTTTTAAAACGAAATCATTGGTTTAGTTTCAAAAAATATTTGCCGTCATTTTACGGTTATTCAAATGCTAAATATTTCTGTTATTTTAGATTCTATTCCAGATGTAAGTCATACAGAGCAAACTGCATTTTTAGTCAGGTTTGTAGACAGTAACGCCTAAAATATTGATGAAAAATTATAGCTTCTTACTGAATTATATCCGATAAAATTATTGGGCCTTTTTTCTTTTCTAACTCAGATCATTCCCCTATACTTCTTACTATAGTACTATAATAAACGATATTCAAATTCCTTTTGGTAGCTCAGCAAAATACCTGGTTATGATTCTAGACGCTAGGTTGCTCTGGAGAATACATGTCAAAAAGAAACAAGAATAAGTTAAAATGAAAAATAAAAAACAAATTGCTTCTCTACAAGTAAATCTTAAAACCTGTCTGGACATATGGCATCCAGCTTTGGGGCTGTGCCCGCAACGCAACATCAACGTAATTTAACAACAACAGAACACAGTACTAAGGAACATCGTAGATGCACCCCTGTTTTGCCAAACCTCTGATTAGGTTAGAAGAGTATTTTGTAAAAAAATTTATTAAATACAGTGACCTTTTAGTGTATAATTTTCATTATGTAGACTTTTTAACATACTAAGTTTATTTTTAAGTCCAATTTAAAAACCACCAATAATAACTTATAAAATGTTGGCAGAAAGACTATGGTCGATAGCCAATTGGAAGACAAATAAAAATACGCTTAATGTAATATTTATCAAGAATTCGAGACAATTAAAACTGGGTGCGAAATTATTAGGGATAAAACGTATTAAAATTTTCAAATTAACGATTTGAACTCTAAAAATAGCAATAATTATCGGCTCATATAAAATCGTTTAGAAATTGTAAATGTCACACTATAATCTATACCTAATTTAAACATTAACCGATTATCATTCGCTAAAGAACATTATTTATGAGTGACTGCATGATACTTTATCAATTTAAAAACACTCGCAGAAACAAAAAAAAATTGAAAAATCAGCTGATAAAGTGACTCGAATACGCGTAAAACGCTTATCTGATTAAATTGGAACAAAATTCTAAAGTTAGTTGCGTAATAATTACTATACAAATTTATATGTAATGGTACTTATATAATTCTAGTCTTAATAAAACTACTAAAACAAGGAAAGAGTCAACAAAAGATTTTTCCCATCACTTTATAATCAAATCATTTTTTTAATAATTTCATATGGTATAAGAAAAAAATATAGAGTGATCCACGAAAAATGTTTCAAATGTCGGCGTAACCCAAATGTGAACGCTCTTTGATTATGATAAATTCTTTCCTGTAAGTCTGGCTTTGGTCAAAGATGTTACAAGGAGAGGGGAGAATATTGAGAACAAAAATAAATTACATTCATTTGGGCAGTTTTGGTGAACCGGTCTTATCTACATTAAATGTGCAATAAAAATTGAAAGAATATAAAAATTACAAAAACAGTTTATTACAAAATTAAATTAACTACAAAAATCATTTATTTATCAAAGGCTACATTAAAATTGAGACGAAAATTGGTGTTTAAGAGAAGTAAGTGAATTAGATGTCAACAAGAAACGCTCGCAAGAACAACAAAGATTGTGAATACCTTTTAGACAAGGTTTAGGGAAGGTCTCTGCCACAACACTTTCTAATCTTTTTGGCATGGACAAAATTAAATGTCGCATATCGTATGAATCTATAGTACATTAAGACGTTATGCAGATGAGAAATATCGTGGTAGATGGATTGGACGACGAGGTCCGACATAATGGCCAGCTCGGTCACCGGACCTATGGCCCTTGGGGAATACCTCAAATTTAAGGTTTACGCTACAATTGCTGACAGTATTAACGTTTTACAACAAATTGTCGATTGTTGAATGTATGGCAATTTTATCTTCAACATTTGGACCTCGAACTTTACCAGTGCCCCTCCTAATGTCATAAATTATATCTGAATTATCTATACATAGTATCATCTACTATTGATGTAAATAAACGAGAATAATGGTAAATAATTTTGTTTAGCCTTGCTAATAATGAAGGATATTAACTTTTTTATATTATTAGAATAATGTAATATCTAATATACAAAATGTATTATTTTCACACTTTTAAACATAACTATGAACATTAACGCATATAAAGACATTAATACCCAAAGCCGTAATATTTACAGTAACGGCTAATTCTCATAATTAAATTTACAAACATTCCTCAGACAATTTTAGGTAGGTACATATTAAAAAAAACACTTCTACAGAAGCTGTCACGGTGAATCCACCTAGTTTAACATGCTACTAAAATGGTAAGTATTTGTTTTAAAATAACTACCTAATAAATATGTAATTTGAAAAAAATTTTTTGGAAAATATGAATAAATAGCCAAAATATAATAGAAATATGGAGTGATCCTCAAAATGTTACCACAAAAATGTTTCTAATGTTATGGAAAACTTCACACATATCGGAGCGTACAAGTCTCCTTTCTTCTTTTTAATAGTCAGTTTGGATTTTATTCAGAGCCGCGTTTAGTTATCACAGACGTTTTTTATTTATTTAAATAATCAGAATTTAAATAGCTTCTCCAGTGAGAAAACCACCTTATTTAGATTACCCAGTTTTTTTCGGTCTTTTACTGTCTCGTTTTTCCAATATTGGTTAATGTAATGTGTTAGTATGTGACTCCAATCTTTGGTTAATGCTTCTGACTTCTTTACTGAACAGTTGCAATATGAAGGTCTTGATGTATCATCTGGTTAGATACCACGGATCATCTACTATTGCTTACAAAATCTTGGGCTACGCCCTTTGTAAAATAGCTATACTGGATTTGCTGGCACATCCCCCAATTCCATGCCATATATTTATTCAGATTGGAATAATTAGATTTTTAAAATATTTTATTTTTTATATGCATTTTTGATTTTATGTCTAACAGACTAAAAATCTTTCAGTTTCTGTTATATTTATGTGATCTTTCCAAATAGGTTTGGTATCTAAAATGATTTCTAAGTATTTGACAGACAGGATCTACGGAATTTCAATGTTGTTATTATAACAACCAACTATTCTAAAATACCACCATTTGTCAACAATGTAACAACTGATAGGTCTTTAACTACTGTTATCAATATACTATTAAGGAATTAAGATATAAAGGCAGAAAAGTCGTAATTGATAATTAAAAGTAATACGCAACATTATGACATCATAAACTTCCTATTGAATAATACAGTTTGGACAGTGCTACTAAAGTTGTTAATTAGTAGCACTGGAAACTTTAACTATATACAGTGTCGAACAGCCAAATGGAATAAATTCGGTAATAAATAAACGAGGGCGTGTTCGGAAAAACGCTCGGACACATCGATTGGTATTTTGAGTTGTGCACTTTTTTCGACAAAAACTTTTTATGCAGGGTGTGTTTTGTAACAGTGACCAATACCAACTTTATTATTTTAAATGCAAAACCCTGTATACTCTTCAATTTTTGGATTCTTCAGAAAATTCTAGACATACTATGTCCTATACCTAACTGTTTCGGAAATATTAAATGTTTTCCGATTTATTGCAAAAATTACCATTAACCAAATAAAATTGTTTGATTACAGAAATTCGCTACAACACATCATTACTTATTTCCCATTTAGATCTTGATAATGAGAAAATAAGCAAAAACCTTTTCAAAGTCGCTTTTTACTGATATAAATAAAAAAAGCTATACTTAAATTGTTTTGTTTACTTTTGTTTAAAACACCTGACCTTAGTAAATTGTTACCTGACTGCATGAGAGTAGTCGTCAGTGTTATAGTCGTTTGAATTTCCTTAAATGCACATCAGAAAAATGGTTCATATAACAGAAATGCACAAAATAACTATTCTACAGATGATTGGTATGGACATAAGACACGGACACAAATTAAAGTTGCTCACTTATTACATGAAAAATTTCCAAATTTGCCGCGTATATCCCAAGGGACAATTAGTAAAATAGAGAAGCAGTTTCGCGAGCTTGGACATGTAAGGTAGATAAAAACAAACAGCTGCCAATGCAATAACTAATGATACCAAATTGGATATTATGCTTGAGTTTCAGGAAAACCCACATACCTACTTCTAGTAGACAAGCAGCCCCAATGTTATTAAATAATAGCAACTCAGGAGCTCATGGAAGACGATTTTGATAGGAGAACGCAATTTTGTGAACAAATGATGGCAATGTTAGATAATATGGTGATCCAATTAGAACATGTTTTGTTTTCTGATGAGTGTAACTTTACACTTCACGGTCATGCTAATCGTCAAAATTGCTGCTATTGGTTTAGGGAAAATCCTCACTGGATGAGAGAAGAACATACACAATACCCTGAAAAATGTAATGTTTGGGCAGGATTTGTTGGCGATCATATCATAGGTCCCTTTTTTTTATTGATGGCAATTTGAATGGCGATAATTATTTAGTACTGCTCCAAAATAATGTCGTGCCAACTTTAAAGAACTTATATCTCGATCCAGCAAACCTACAAGCGAATATAATATGGTTTCAGCAAGATGGAGCACCGCCCCATTACCAAATGTCCGGCAGACCTCAATCGAGTATTTCCAAATCGGTGGATAGGGAAGCGAGAATCAATGAAATGGCCAGCACGATCCTCTGATCTTTCATCATTAGACTTTTTCTTAAGGGGATATGTCAAAAGTATTGTATACTGAACTAAACCTCTCGACCTAGCTGACTTAAGAAAACGAATATCGCTTTCGATTAGATCGGTCACGCCTGAGATGTTGAGTAACGTTAGAAGACATTTTTATT